ATGGCACAATAAAATTTTAGGCGATTTGGGTCCGAGCACCTTGGTCTGTGCAAGAGGCCTTGGCTATAATACACAAAAATCTAGGAATCAGGCGAAATTTTAGTTTTATTGCCCTAAAATATCAAAAATCAAGTAACGTCCATGGCAAGGCATTCACTAATTTTTCTTAGGTAATTTTTGATGGGCCTGCAATATTTTAGCCAATTCAGGTCCAGGCGCTCGTGCCCATGTAGGAGGCGTAGGCTATAGCGCATGAAAATTTAAGAACCAGGCGGAATTGCAGTTTTATGACCTTAAAACGCCAAGAAAAGAGTATCGGTTGTGGCGATGCGGTGACTATCATTACTTAGGTCATTTTTAGAGACCGAAAATTTTTTAGGCGATCCGGGTACGAGCTCCCGGGCCCATGCAGGAGGCGTGGGCTATAGTAGATGAAAATTTGGGAATCGGGCGGAATTTTCATTTTATTGCCCTAAACGCAAAAAAAAACGAGTAACGGTTATGGAAAGGCGGTGACTATTGTTCCTTAGGTCATTTTTTATGGCACGGTAAAATTTTAGGCGATTTGGGTCCGAGCACCTGGGTCTATGCAAGAGGCGTTGGCTATAATACATAAAAATCTAGGAATCGGGCGAAATTTCAGTTTTATTGCCCTAAAATGTCAAATATCAAGTAACGGCCATGGCAAGGCATTGATTAATTTTCCTTAGGTAATTTTTGATGGGCCTGCAATATTTTAGCCAATTCGGGTCCAGGCGTTTGTGCCCATGCAGGAGGCGTAGGCTATAGCGCATGAAAATTTAAGAATCATGCGGAATTGCAGTTTTATGACCTTAAAACGCCAAAAAACGAGTATCCGTTGCGCCGATGCGGTGACTATCATTACTTAGGTCATTTTTAGGGACCAAAAAATTTTTAGGCGATCTGGGTACGAGCTCCCGGGCCCATGCAGGAGGCGTGGGATATAGTAGATGAAAATTTGAGAATCGGACAGAATTTTAATTTTATTGCCCTAAACGCAAAAAAAATGAGTAACGGTTATGGAAAGGCGGTGACTATTGTTCCTTAGGTCATTTTTGATGGGCCGGAAAAATTTTGGGCAATCCAGGTTCGGTCGCCCAGGCCCATGCAGGAGGCGTGGGCTATAGTTTATATGGCCCTAAAATGCTAAAAAATGAGTAATGGTCATAGCAAGGCAGCGACTATTGTTTCGTAGGTCGTTTTTTGTAAGCTGGTATAATTTTAGGTGATCCGGGTCCGCTCGCCCGTGCCCGTGCAGGAGGCGTGGGCTATAATACACGAAAATCTGGGATCAGGCAAAATTCCAATTTTATTGCCCTAAAACACCAAAAAACGAGTAACGACCATAGCGAGGCGGTGACTATTGTTCCTTAGATCAGTTTTGATGGGCTGGTAAAGTTTTAAGTGATCCAGATCCGAGCGTCTGAACCCATGCAGGAGCCGAGTGCTATAGCACACCAAAATTTGGCAATCGGGTGGTAATCGAATTTAATGTCATTAATACGTCAAACAACAAGTAACAGTCATGGCGAGGTAGTGACTATTTTTCCTTAGGTAATTTTTGATGAGCCGACAACATTTTAGACGACCCGGGTACGAGCACCCGGACTAATGCAGGAAGCGTGGCCAATAGCACATGAAATTATGGGAATCGGGCGGAATTCTTGTTTTATGGCTCTAAAATGCCAAAAAACAAGTAACATTCGTGTTGAGGTGGTGACTATTTTTTCTTTGGTGATATTTGATGGGTCGGCAAAATTTTAGGCGATCCGGGTCCGGGCACCCAGGCACATGTAGGAGGCGTGGGGTATAGTACACAAAAAAATTTGAGAAACGGGTGGAATTTCAGTTTTATGGCCCTAAAACGCCAAAAAATGAGTAGCTATCGTGGCAAAACAATGACTATTTTTTCTTAGGCCGTTTTTGATAGGCCGGCAAAGTTTTAGGCGATCCGAGTTTGGTCGTCCAAGCCCATGCAAGAGGCGTGGGTTATAGCACATGAAAATCTGGGAATCGGACGGTATCCCAATTTTATGGCCCTAAACGCTAAAAAACGAGTAACGATCATGGTTAGACGGTGACTATTGTTCCTTAGGTCATTTTTGATGGGCCGGAAAAATTTAAGGCGATCTGGATCTGGTCGCCCGGGCCCATACAGGAGGCGTGGGCTATAGCACACGAAAATCTGGGGATGAGGTGGTATTCTAATTTTATGGCATTAAAATGCCAAACAACGAGTAATAGACATGGAGATAACGTATATCAAACTGATATAGATAATTTTGTTCTTATAAGAAATTGTTTAGCTATTAAGTAGAGGCACTTAATAAATTATTTTGCTAAACCAGCTGTGATGTAAACCAACTTATCAAGATGAACTATCTTGAATAACAAATCTGGAAATTATGCTCTAAATCAAATTATTGAGCAAGTTACCTCGCAAAATACCATGTTGCGGGTTATTAATAATCGCACATGTAACCATCTCATAGGTGCATCTTATATGGTATACATGGCAGGTGAATGGGCCCATATTCACCTTTGATATTTCCAGCATTCATGGGATTCAATCCCAATTTTAATTGGTCTATTGATTAATGAGAACAGGCAACATAAGAGAATTCATAAAGAACTTTCTCGTTCTTTAATATTTACCCATGTGAATTCTCTTTTATTTTTGCACATCATACTTGAATTAACATGGCTAAACCAATTATGCCAACTGGATAAATTATCAATATTGATAAACTTTAGGTTTACACCATGATGTGTGCAATTATGAATAAACTCCAAGTTTATTATGATATGGGTTTTTATATCAATAAATATCCACTTCAGTGTGGTATTCTTTTGTTTATGTAGTACAAATCAGAGAATAAAGCGGGTAGCTTTTCACATACATATTACACCGCTACAAGTTGTAGTAATAGAAGATATTAAATCTTTCCTTTATTTATAGTCTCAATATAATCAACCGCTTTCGCGTATACTTTGAAAACTGAATAAGTTTCTTTGAGACTTACTACAACATAATACCTTATTGGTAATTAATTGTGTTTCTCCAAAATAGTATAAGTGGCTCTTGCAGAGTTTCTCAATTAATTTTGTAGTACCACATATTCATCAACACCCATATGGTGAATATCTCTTTTAAAGAGAAAGTTATACCATTATGGTTATGGTCAAAATTATATGCAAGATCTGTTTCTTGCATTACCGTTGTCTTTTAACAATCACAATGCCAAAATATTTTGGCGTACAATAGGTACGTGACCAATGACCATTCATGCCATAATAATGACATTATTTTCTTATATCATTTCAAACCTTCTTTTAGAGGTGAGTGCGGTATATTCACTACCAATAGCACGTTCATATTCTTTGAAGAATGAATATGTATTCATAAATCAGATGTTGTCACGTTCACATCATGAATGGACCATAATCATCTATATGTGCTTTACAAAATCTCATGTCAAATCGCTGACAAATATTTTTCGCAGAGTGAAAGATTATTTTGAGAATCCTTATTGTTCTCATTACCACAAATGATGACGATTATAATTTCGTCTATTGCCACGTCCATATCCATTGATACATTCATAGTAATAGTTTTGTCTTCTTTCAGACTTATCACATACTGCTATCACATTCTCTTAAGGGAATGAGAATGGAGCAAATTCAATGGGACGGGTTTTCAATTCTTTGCCCACAATTATACATGAATTTGATCATGGCGAGACATAGAAATTTTACCACTTCAGGTGGTTATAATTTCTTACAAACTCCATTAGAGTTATAATCAAACTTTGTTGTCTTTGCTTGTATATAAAATCAAATTATAGAATTTCAAGAATTTAAAAGAGAAAAATAAAGTAAAATACTTACCTTAAATCCAGAATGTAACCATGAATAAAGTTCATGGAACAATTGACAATCATTATGCTCAATCCCAAAGTTTCTACTCAAATGGTTAGAGTCTCGTGCTGATAACGTGTTGTGAACAATAAAAGAAGAAGAAGAATATTGCAGAGAAAAGTAGGGAGAGAGAATTCTTATTGATTTTTGGGATGAATTACAATGGAATAGAACCCTCTATTTATAGGGAGAAAGTGACTTAGCCGCCAAGTAATAAACCCTAGAATCTCTCTAAATATAGACATTCACCATAAATAAAATTCTATTTATAACAAATTCGACATTTTTAAAGAAAATGAACTGGTAGAGAAGTAAGAAAGGGGGGAGAAGAAAGGACAAAGATAAAGATAAAAAGGTTTAAAAAGGAAAAGAAATGGAAATAAAAGACAAATTGATATAATTAGGTATTTATGTGCACTTAATAAATGTACAAAGAATTAACCATGTCTTGATTTGGCGAACGTATGCACGGAAGAAGTTTCTCTTGAAATTCTTTTCCTTCTTTACTTTCTTTTAAGAAAATTAAAAGTATTGTTTCATTTATATTAGATTATATATACTAACACTCAAGTATTTTTGGAAAGACTTAAAGAACTCTAAAGTGATGGAAAATTATATATAATATGTATAGAGCTAGAGTGTAGATAATAATATAAATTGGTTAAAAACTTGAAAATATTTGAAATTTAAAGTACAAAAAGAAAATTTTAAAAAATTTTTAGGCTAATTCGTAAAAAGCTAATAATTCGCGCGAAGCGCGAGTGGATTCAGTAGTTTCACTAAAATATCCAGAAAAGAAAAAAAAGGCAAAAACGGTGAAGGATTGGCAAGAAATTATCCTATTCTATTAAAAATTATTTTAAACTAAAAAGCTCCCTGACCCAAATAAACACACTAATCTCGAACTCGACCTGTAACATTAAAAAATCCAACCCCATTAAAAGTAGAAGGAGATTGGCGTAGAGATACCGCGAAATGTCTTGACTTGACTTAAAATGATGATATATATATATATATATATATATATATATATATATATATATATATATATATATATATTATACTGGGTTTGTTGTAGTCGCTGATCAATTACAATGGTTATACATTTGAGCTGCTGCATTAGTTAGGCAGCAAGTAGGATTTCCCTTGTTTATCTAATAGACAAATCTGTCTACAGGAGAAAATATTTCTGTCACTGTGTACAGTTATAGACGCTTGCTGCTGCTCTGCTTCATCATCTCAGTAGCAGGGTATCTTAGATTAGTCTCAATCAACATCCTTTCTACACGTACTGGAAAATGGAGACCAGGTTGAAGCACCTGAATAACCATAACTGCTAGCATTGAATAATGAGTCACTACTACAAGCAAATAATGCAGATACCTGTATCTGTTTACTTCACAAATACTGGTGTACATTTGAACTTTTTGACCTGTGTTGTGCAGAGAAAGGAACATGTTAATCCAGAGACAGACAGCTGCGTGTCAGCAACCATCGTTTGTTTAATTTCACTTTAAACATGAATAGGGAGTGATTAGTCGCTTGTAAAGTTAAGGTGTGTAAATGACTTTTTCCGGACAACTTTAGAGAGAACTTTTGTAATTTTCCATGAATTTATGTGAGTTTGCAGGTAAGATTATATAACCTCTACATTTAAGTTGTGTCAACAAAAAGTGGTTTGCCATTCTTTGGTAGATTTTACAAGTAATAAACAATCTGGATTGTGGAGACGATCTTGAAGCACGTTGATTGTTTTGGTTTTGGAATAGTAACTCTTATAGTATCAAAGCTGAGGCACTGGATAGATAATCGATAATAGATATGTCGCGCATTGTCTATTATCCTCCTTTATATAAATCACTTGATGCTTTCAGTGGATCCAACTTAATAAGAAAGAAGATATCCTTACTTGTATGAGGGAACTCATGGAGCCGGGAAATCATTTCTGTACGAACTTTGTCACAACCCAACGAACCTATTCAAGAGAATTCAGCAAAAGCAGGCTGGCGTTATTCGTCTAGACAAAAATCAATAAAATAGGGGCATAGATGTTTTTCTCCTTGAAAATTGGTTAACTAAATCAACACTTACAATGTTATTACGTGGATCCCGCCAATAAAATCCTTGAATTAGAATCACAGCTATATTTGATGTTATGAGAATAAAGATACTAAGAGAATGCTTTCCCATCCACTCCAAAACGAACATCAAGCGCCTCCAACCATAAATGTCCACCTAAAGTTCATAAGATTCACACGACTGTTAAATGAATTTTAAATCAGAATGATAGCAACAGGTGACGATTATATTAAGCCAAAGAGATACCGGAGAGAGGGTTTTATTTTCACAACTTACCAGCACATATAGCAAACAGAATGTGATTCCAGCAGCAGCTGAGGTTACCAACAAATAACTTATCGTGTATAACGATTTGTTTAATGGCACGTCTGAAAGGAAAAGAAATTAATCTCACATTTCATAATGACTAGAATCATTTTTTCTTGAATCAAATAGATAATTTACTACATTGATTAAGGGAATCAGCACGACTAGAGCATGAACTAATCTTATATTCTTAGGGAAGGGAGATCTAAAATATGGTAAGGTTAAAGACAGAGTATATATCGTAAATTGGAAACCAAAGGTTTCTGGTTTGTCTATGATAGTCCAGGTGATTATGCATTAGTATCTAAAAGTAAGAAAGACATACCTATGAAAGCAAGGAACAAACCAACTACAAGAAGTGAAAGTGAGAGGACGGACCAACTGCATAGCCGTTCTTTATGATCCTGAAACAGTCATATAAATTACATCTATCAGTGACATATCTGGCATTAAGGTACTCTGGATCATTCTCTGCAACTAAATATACATCACCGAACAGAAGTGACAGATTTCCCTTCATTCTGAAATCATGATATTCTCCTATATAGCTAATTTACTAGTTAACCAATAACCACAGGACCAATAAGATTCTAAAAGCATAATCATCTAACACAACTCTTGTAGTACTTCTTTCCAGAAAACTCTTTTAGGAAACCAGCACTTACGTATATCAATATATTTCACTGATAAAGCCATCTAACCGGAACCAACACAAAGTAAAATCACTATTGGATTTCTTGAAAGCTTAAAGCATTTCCACGACTTCTCCTGAAATAACCTTTCCTAGCATTTCCAAAGCTCGGGACAAAAAAAATTACTATTGGATTTCTTGAGAGCTTAAAGCATTTCCACGACTTCTCCTGAAATAACCTTTCCTAGCATTTCCAAAGCTCGGGACAAAAAAAATAGAGCACCTAACAGAGGTAAATCAGTCAGCTAGCGTTACCAGATGGCTCACCTGAAATTTGACAAGTATGTGACCGTATTGGAGTCCAATGATGCATGCAGCAGCAGCTGTTAGTGAACTGCAAAAAGATTACCAATGGCAGAAGGTGTTAAACGACAAAGTAGAGAATAAGTGAAAATAGAAAACATGACATCACCAAATAAGTACTACATTTCATAGGAGAATCCAAGAGTGATGAATAATGCGGATTTGTTACCTTAAAATGCCTTCAGGATCAAAAGGGGCATGACACCAAGAAGGCGTACTCACAGAAAGTCTGTTATTGTTGGATCCGTTGCATTCCTGTGAACAATAATATCACTCATGAAGGGGTAACTGTGAGGTGTGGACATAAGCGTTTCAGCAATGCAGTTCAGTACAAAGTTACCTTCATATTTCTATACACAGGTTTTGCGTAGAGGTGATCTATTCCAAGAATATAGCGATCGATCATTCCAGCAGAATTACATGCGGGTCCAAGATCACCTCTGACAGAACATTTTACCTGCAAGTGACAACAAATTATACCATCTTTTATAACATATATAAGATAAATGATGGCAAAAGTTCTCCAACTCAATTAGGAATAGTACTGATCATACAGAACGCAGTAATAAGTAATGACTGATCAGTCATTTTTAAACCTCTATTAGATTAACGACGCTATAAGCCTCTAAAGGATAATAACTGATGTCAAAAGTTCTCGATTATAAGAAACTCCTTTACATGCTAAATCAGATGTAGAGGAATAGTACCATATCACTTACGCAGTAATGACTGATTAAACTCATTGTTAAGCTTCTATTGGATTCTTAACGTGTTTCTTGGAGCAACTGGCATTGCTTTTAAGAAGAGTTTAGAATAAGGGGAAAAGAAAAGGAAACAGCGGCTAACCTCATAAATGCTGCTTCCTGTTGACTGCGACACACTGAATTGCCAATCAGGTACATACAGACCATATAACAAGCCACTGTGTATAGCACACAATAGGATCATGATACACCTACAAATGAAGTACAATGTTGTTACATAGAACTATAGACAAAGATAACCATATAGGACAAACAACAACACTATATAACAAGAACCTCGATAATAAAACTTTTTGCCAATATCATTGCAGTTGGACTCATATTAGTTTTTCAACTAAAACTTCTTTTCTGTTTTGCCTACTCAATCTACCTTTTAAAGCCATTGAGGCCTAACCAAATAGTTAGGTTGAGACCTTGTAGCAACATGTCACGTGTTTGACTTCCAGCAGCAACATGCATAGAATTTTCTCTAATTTACGGGAGATTATGCCCTACTTACGAGAAGTTGGTTCTTTCATACTCATTAAATAAAGTTCACAGAAAGCATAATTGCGATGTACTTATGGTTCCACTAAGGAAAAGAATCTGCTTGTGACAAAGATTTTACTCCCAGTACAATATGAAATAGTTAAAGTTCTTGGTTTATCCGAATGCTTCTATTTTCTTCCTTTTCTGTTTTCACAGCAATACCTTCAAGATGCCGAAACACAGAATATATGAATTACTCATAACAATTGCACAATAAGTTATCCGCATCAGTTTTCCATTGTAACATATCCATTTGAAAATCAGGGATGTAGTCATCTTACCATTGCCGAATATAATTGCTGAAAAGGATGTCTCTTTTCAATCCTTGACATGGAAGCCATATCTCACACAAAGCTGCTACAATATATCCAACAGCTATCCTCTGCAATCATGAAAAGAAATGTATAATCATCTCAACCAGGAATTAATATTACCAGGTTACATGCATGAGTTTTTCATCTTGCACCTATTTCACTGACCATCTAGTGATTAGAAACATCTCTTTTAAAAATCAGGGAGACCAGGTTAGGACTCTTTTCTTGGAATCATATTAGACGTACCTGTAAAATTCCCATCCATCGTATTCTTTCAATATCCACACCGTAGGTCAAACCAGTTATCCCATGCAAGTAACCCCCTGAAATGAGACAGATGTTGAATCAGCAATCGTCCAATAGCAGTTCAAGTCTATACATCTCAAACAGGAAAATGACATGCTAAGAATGAAATCAGAAGACAGCTGTCGAAAAGATCATCAAGAGAAAAACAAGATAGCCTCTGCAGAAGAATCCAACAATTCCAATTCTAGCTAAAATGCATATAATAGAATGTGTTACTCTATTATGTTACTTGGTACCCTACAATCTCCAATTTTGACTTTCTTCTGGTGATAATTTCCCTTTCATGAATTTAACTATAGAATTTTCACGCTGAACATTGTCTACTCATCAAACTTAACTTGACCTGTAAAACGTCTCACAATATGTTCACATGCTTCATTTATGTACATTCTTGTTGATTAAACATCTCTCTTTCTCATGCTGTTTCCTGTCAACTGCGGAAGGCCTTTTACACGGGCAACTTCTCAATAAGAAAAGATGTATCATCGTTGAGCTTCATTTCACTTGTAGTTGGAACTGTATTCTATCTAGTTGTGCCACAAACTAAATTACACACACATTTGCTACATTGTGTGGAGTGCAGAAGTACTAGAAGATCAATTTTGAAAGACATAAGCAGGCTTTGCAGAAATTCTTGGAACCAGTAGTTAATCGTAATATCCATTTTAGAAATGCCAGTGAGCAAAATTACCTTGAAGGAAAATACCAAGGAGAAATAGTTTCAATGTTCTAAACACAACTTTCAAGGTTGCCCCAGTTCTGTCTACAACTATCTGCAGTTTAAAAAGAGGAAAAAGTTCAGTAAGTGCCAAGTGCAACAATCACCTGGTGACAGGCATACGATCTTACTCAGATGATTTAGTTATATGGATATAGACAGCACAAAGGATAGGATATCACCATGAAATTCTGAGAACTATGCGTCATGGGTTCATAATGATTAGGTTTATCTCCACGATTTTATCTGAAGATCAAAGCATAGATACCTTATTTACAATTGCCAGGGAAACTCCAACAACAAAAAGGAAGAAAGGCATTACAAAGTCTGCCAAGCGGACACCATTCCATGGGGAATGAGCAATGCTTGGGAAAACAGAACCAGCATAATCGGCAAGCATCATTAGCTGAATGCAGCAAACAAATTAAAGTCATAAGTTGAGAAGTGGTAAAATTTACACTAGCGAGAAGTAAAAGAGAAGAACGTACTCTTATAAATAAAAAATCTGTTATGCAACAAGACCTCACTTATGTGGATTGTGGTTATTTAAAATGCTAATGAAAACAAGCATTCAATCCAAAACCTTAAAAAAAAAAAAAAGATTGAGCAGTTCAAGATCTTTATTGACAACTTGGAATACTGTCACCTTAGGGATGCCTGGACGTAAGTAGTGTCATTATAAGCACAAAGGCGTTCTGCAATTTAGAGAGATGGCTATATCTTTTTTTTAAATGTGGTATCGAGGTTCGACTCGAGAGATTGTTTCGAAATAAGATTACTTGAGTTGACCCTTTTGTGAACTACAGCCAGGGGAGGATGAGATAGAAAAGGGGATCAAAATGTTCCATCAATAAAGTGATTGCTTTCACGAGCACCATGCTAAATATTTTTTCTTATCCTCCACTTTGGCAAATATGAGTTCATCTAGTACTTGCAGTTTAATAGGGGACTTTCCATCTTGTTGGCAGTGCATTGCCTTCGACTCTCATGAAAGTACATTGATGCAATGGTATTCTACTCCCACTGGCTGCTAACTTAATCAATGTAGAATGAAACTCCACTAATTCACTGCTTACATGTGCTCAATATCGAGAACTGAGCTAGTGGATATGGAAACTTAAAAGCATGTCCATAAAATTGTGTGCTACATGATACCCCCCCCCCCCTACTGAGGCGGATGCAGTGAGGGGTCAACGGACCCCTAAGCTTCGGCAGAATTTTTGTATATGTACATGTATATACCTTGAAAATAGTTAATTTAAAGCACTTGGCAGCCTGAACACTAAAAGCCTTTAGGGGCACTGGTTGAATAGAATACTGTGCCCCCCATCGTGTAAAAATCCTGGGTCCACCTCTGCCTCCGCCGCGCAGTGCCATAACATTTCTAGAGCTGCATACGCACATGCCTTCATACCCGAAAGGAAATTAAGCACACTCTTCAACATATAATTTAGTAGTTGCTAACTCATTTAATCTTAAACATCTTGGGATAAAATGAAGTGACAAGGGAAAACAAAACTAAAAATTCACGTTTCTTTTTTTCAGTAGTTTTTTCGACAGCCAATAAGAACCTATAAAGCAGAAGAAGACAAAGCAAAGGTATGGACTAAACTAACGTCAGGCCTCGATATTCCCGAGAACTTAAATGAAGGAAAATCCTTCAATCTGCATAAATCATAACATGCATATGAAATTCGCAAGATCAATATATCCATTAAGTTTTTTTTTCCCTGAAAAAAATGTAAGAAAAAAAAAAGAGAAAGGAAGATGAATTCACAAATTCAAAGTGCATAAATTACAATAATCATAGCTTCCTGCTATAAGATTATCTTTCTTCGTAAAGTGAAAAAAATAAAAATTTAAAGGTTATACTAGACCTAATCTAACTATGTTCTCTCATAGTTAAACAAACTCTGTTCCAGAAACGTAAAAAAAAAAGAGAGAGAGAGATCAAATTCCTTACAAAAACGCAAAGGCCTCTAAAAACATCGAGAGAAACAACACGAGCAGAAGCTTTACTTTTCCTTTCATTTCCTTCACTTTCACGCACCACTTCGTTATCATCGCTTCGTAATAATGGCTGATTTTCTGCCATTTTTGAGCTGCCAACTCACTCCACTTCCCCAAGTATATATGAAACTGCACCTCTTTTGTTAGTGTTAGAGACGCAAAGGTACGATTCAGGATTTTAAGGCTGTGAGTTGTATGTATAAATAATACTATAATATAAAAATTTAAATTAAGGATAATGGATTTTTGATCGAACTCAACTAACAATGAATTGGAGTTTGGTTGAAGAGTGAAGAAAATGATGAGAGAGAGACGGCAGATATGGTTTATGCTTGTTTGATGCGTTTGAGACAAAGACCAACTTGAATGTGGGGACTTGTCATTGGTGAAAATGATCACTTTATATCTACTAGTATGTCCTAATTTTGACCAATTACTTTTCATTTAATTCTATGTCCATTTTCTCCCTCAATTTTATAGTGTCCATTTGAATCGGCTTATTTTAAGTGCTTTTGAGCCAAAATAATTTTTAAGTCATTTTGTAGTATTTGGATAGAGTAAAAATGTATTTTTAAACACTTATTTTTAAGCTAAAATGACAAAAACAAGCCAAAAACCAAAAGCTAGAATTCCTAACTTATGGCTTATAAGCTATTTTGGCTTAAAAGCCACTTAAAATAAGCCCACCCAAACTCTAAGAGCTCGTTTGGATTAGTTGATTTGAAGTAGCTAATAAGCATTAGGTGTTGAAAAGCATTTTTAAGAGCTGAAACTGATTTAATAAATAAGCAGTTACGTGTTTGGGTACAAGTGCTGAACTTGATAATAAGTTGCTGCAGTATTTGATAAAAAGTGCTGATAAGCTCTTTTTTTTGTTAAAATGACTTAAATAACCTTAGAACTGTTTACACTTATAAGGGCGTATTTTCTTCAAAATTTTAGATTCCAGATCGATTCAAATACAAAATATTCTATTTGTCATTTTATTTTAAATAAAACTATGCTTAGATAAGATAATTTTACTGATAAATATAATTTATTTTATGATAAACATATAATCATAAGCTATAATAATTAATAAATTGACAAAAGTTTCTCAGTAAAAAATAAACCTAATAGGATAAAATATTTGAAGAGAAACAAATATTGTCTTCATCACCACAACACTTAGAAAGCGATAAACCAAAAATTTGATATGTCCTCATTTATTACATACGGTTCAAAGATTAATACACAATCACATCGATATAAATATGCAAAGAAATAGAGAATTTGCTTATCTTAAATAGTCAATGAGAATTGCAGACTTGAAGATGCAGGGGGGTTAGGTTAAATACTTAAGGCAATGAGTATCGATGTAGGAGTTTTGTTCTAAAAAGGAATATTTTAAGGATAAAATAGTAAAAATTTTGGTCAAACTTAAAGTGCTTATACGCTAAAAATTCATAAGCTTGGGGTGACCAGCTTATGACTTTTGACTTATTTTTGACTTATAAGCACTTTTAACTTTACCAAATGCATAGATAAACCGAAAAGTGCTTATAAGTTAGTTTGACCAGCTTATAAGCTTAGCCAAACCCCTCTAAGGCATACTCTCTCTCTCTCTCTCTCTCTCTCTCATTTTAGCTCTTTTTACTAGGGGTGGGCATACTAGGACATATCCGAAATCCGAACCAAAATCCAAATTGTTTGGATTTTCGGATTACGAATTAGATTTTGAATTTAAATTTTAAAATTTTTGGATTTCGGATTGGATATAGGATTTGGTACTTCGAATTTTTGGATATCCGAAAATTCAAATTTTTTATAATTTATCTTTAGTCTATTATCCATATGCCAATAGTAATATGTTCAATCCTACCCATTAGATATTATCTCATATATTCAATATTAATTACTAAGTTATTGTCAGAATACTTTCTATTTGAACATGATTTTAATATTGCTACTTCTTATCGGTCGTATCAATGTCTATGTTGTATTTTTATAATAATTTCATTACTTGAATGTTTTGGATGATTGCGGGAAAGAATGAGGAACTTTCAGGCAATTTAACATGAGTACTTTATTTGGATATTTATTTTTTTTAAAATGTAAAAACATCTCAACTTATACGCTCAAAACCGAAAATCCATAATATCCAAACTGATTAATCTGAAACCAAACTTAAAAGTCCGATCCAATCCGAACTTATTTGAATAATCGAAATTCTCATATTCAATTCAAACTACCCGAACGTCCACCCCTACTTTTTACGTCCACTAACAAAAATAATAAACACAAGAACTAAACTCCTTATTAAATACTCCCTCCGATCAACTTTAATTGAGTTTTAGGCTGTTTCCACACATACTAAAGGAATTCATCTTTTAGCATTAATTAACAGTGAAATTGATCATATTTTAACCTTAATTTGTTCACCGAAAATACAACAAATAATTCTAGGTTCTTTATTCCAATGGCGACTTTGAAAAAAAAAAGTTAATTACTTTGTTGATATCTGAAAAAATCAAATATAATGAACCACAAAAAAATACTAAAAAATTAATTAAAGTGGACCAGGCTTGGCCTTTCATAAGTGGAGACAGAATAAAGCGTCCATAATAAAGGCGTTTACTATCTGTTCTTGATTCAACACACTTCCACTGTAGTGTCCAAGTAGATACTGTTACTTTCTCTCGAACCATAGTACTATTATTTGATTAGATCATCGAATCTTTTATTTCTCTTGAGATTTCTTCAATGTTCAATTCTACACCAAAAAGAAAAAGTAGGAACCCGGTCTTGACGCCCCTAAAAATAGCAATAGCACGAATCCTAAGCTACGACACGCGAAGGAATGGTTCCATGAATCATGGGCGGATCTTAACAGATTTCCCATCAGAGGACTATTACGACTACATCATCGTCGAGGCGCCCCGGTCTGAACATGCCGAGTTGGTTGACAGCTGGAAACGACAGACAAGTGGTGACTATGAGACGGCCTTGCTACTGAGCTTCTTGTCTTCCATCTTTCTTTATTGTGGGGTTCGCGCAACAAGAACAAGAGCGCTTCCTCTTTCTTTTTCTTTGCCACCATGAGACCGGAAATCAATGCTTTCGCGCGAAGTCCTTTTATTTCTCGACGATCAAAGAGTCAAAACTAGCTTTCGAGCTAACCAACCATGGAGTTACCAGCCAACAAGCAAAACGAGTTCTCATTCACGGATAACTAAGCTTTGACAAGCACTACTAGAATTCCGCAAAAAAGCGACCAAAAAATAGCGACCAAAGTTGGTCTGAAGAGAAAAACGACCAGCGTTGGTCGCCAAACTAGCAAAAATAATAAAATAAATAAATGAAACAAATTAGCGACCAAGGTTGGTCGCAATTTGGTCGCTAAATTAGTCAAAACGTTGACTGGACTGGTCAGACTTGCTTGGTCAAAGGTTTACTGAGATTAGCGATCAATGCTGGTCGTTAAAGTGGGACCCACCTTCACAATTTTAATAATTATATTATTATTTTTAAAAAAATATAAAATTTAAATATATATAATTTAAACTTGGCAACCAACGTTGGTCGCTAAATAAAGGGTAGGCAGGTAGCGACCAAGTTTGGTCGCTAAAGTGGGACTTAGTTATAAATTTTAATAATTATATTTTTAATTTAAATATTATATAAATTATAAGTAAATCTGATTTAAATTTTGCGACCAACTTTGGTCGCTAAATTAATTTCATGTATAATTAGCGACCAAAGTTGGTCTCCATTAAGGTCAACAATGGTAAAAATTAAAAATCACTTTTGTATTTACTATCTAAATAATATAAATGTAAGGCGTTAATATATATAATATATATACTTACGCTGTACTATGCACTAAGTATAAGTGTATTAGGTAATATTATATCGAATATTATATATATATATATATATATATATAGTTACGATGTACTATGCACTAAGTATAAGTGTATTAGGTAATATTCTATCGAATAAGGCGTATATATATATAATATATATACTTACNTAAAATATTTGAGCGACCAAAGTTGGTCGCTATATGCTTTGCCCGGAAAATTTGGTCCTTTTACCTGTGAGACCAAAGTTGGTCGCTAATTAGCGACCAACTTTGGTCTCTAAGGTAAAGGGACCAGCTTAATATCGACCAGGCGTGTTTGGTCGCTTTTTGGCCAATAAGCGACCAACTTTGGTCGCTTTTCGTGGTCGCTTTTTTTCGGATTTCTAGTAGTGAAGGGAGAGGGGGACCAAACCATTAGGAGGAAGAAGCAGATGGAAGACGGGATCATTTGTGAAAGAGCTAGCCGAAGGGGACCATCACAGTTGGGGCGGTGGATGACAGGCTAGCTCACCAAGAACATCAGGAGAGGTTGGGGAAGACTTGGCTGCGGCAAGTCAAGGAGAGGTTAGGTCAAGGGATTTCAGATAGAAGTCCCATCAATCAGAAGAAAAGAATGTTCCAGGAAAGAAGGAAACAAGGATATCCAAAAGATTCGGCCTTGAAGGAAGGCATGAATGAGGGGAGACCGGTCTAAGGGCTGCAAGATATGCTATAAGGTTGAATCAGTCTACTAAGGGATGATCTTATTACTAAGTTATTCTTATTAAATACTTTTGAGAATTGAGCAATACTAAAAAGAACTAATCTCCTTTAATGTTAAGGACATAATTGAAAATAAACTATCAAATTTAATCTTGAAATCCTAAAGTGACAATTATTTTGGAACAAATTTTTTGAGCTAACGTGATAGTTAAAAATAGGACGGAGGGAATACTAACTTGTCTCATCTTCGTGAAAACAATTTATTTTAAATTTCTCATTTTTACTTTAATGAAATTTATAATTAAATAAATATCTACGACTTACAGTAGATAATACTGTTAGGACCGAAAAAATCAGGTGTCATGCGGAAGCTAGCAAAGCAAACCTTGAACGACGATAAATCATACAACAAATAGAAATCTACCAAAAGAGACACAAACATTTAACGTGGTTCGGTCAACTGACCTACGTCCACAACGGAGATGAGCAATCCACTATAATAAAAGAGAGTACACAATATCGAGAGAACAACCTCACAAAGAGGCAAACACAAGTGACACACTAACACTTGTCCCGTAAAGTTCTCCCCCTAAACAAGACTCTCAAGTCCCCTATGGCTACATTGTGGATGCTACTGAATGAGAAGGGTGGATCCTCAATTTATAGAAGTCCAAACCTTTTCCTACAAGAAAAAGGACTAGCCAAATATTGGAGATTTCTAATTTCCTTTTACAAAAAAGGAAAACCCAGTTAAGATAATTATATTGCCCTTTTCCTTCAAGAGATAGGAAAACTAAATATGGTAAAAAAATTAT